AGGTAACTTTACACTTTGGTCTGTATTTGTCAAATTATTTTGAATATTAGATAATATTGTTCATTTCACTGTTATAAACTGCTCATTCACTGCTGAAAAGCTGTATGCATCGAAATTTCGTTTTGTTTACACTCTGTGTATGCAAAATGACAACAAAGTTTGTCTAAGACATATGATGCTTTAGTTACTTGCCTTTTTACCAAATACTATTTTACTCTTATTAGATTTAATTCTTCAATGTATAATTTTTACTCTTACTTGAGTAAATATATATTGAAGTAGTGTTACTTTTACCTACATCTGCTTGAATTGTGCTGGCATTCAGAAGATAATTTTTTTTGTTTACATCTGAGCAAAGAATTGCAGCGCCATCTGTTGGTGGGCCTCCTCTCCACCTTAGTGTGAGAGCTTTGTGGCTTGTTCATTAAATCAGCCACCAGGGGGAGCTGCACAGCAATGAAAACATGATACATGACATAATTTAGGGAGGAGGAAAATCAAGGAGGCATGTGAAAAACAAGTGCTATTCTGGTTACCATTCCCAGGCCTGAATGCAGCTACATAGATATCCTTGAAACATTGGGCAAATCTGCTTCCATGGCCAAGGAAAGCTACTGTAGCAGTAGATAAAGGTATGAACTTTCTCCAGTTCTATGCTACCCTTATTGACTCACTGAATATCTATGAAGTTTGGTTACCTTTTTAGAACTTACTGCACTTAAAGAATGTCAATAAAACAAAAATCCAGTGTATTATAAAGAGATAGCTGTTTGAATGTTTTGAAGATGAACACTCGCTTTCCCTCTGTGATTTGACAGGGCCACATTCTGACCTGACTGAGGTATTATGGCCTATTATTAGCCTCAGCTCAGTCTGGTCTAAGAGGAAAAAATGTTCATTACGTAACAATACAGGATCTGTCTCCCACACTCAGTTTCTGAATACCAAAGCAGCAACAGGGCCTTAAACTGACGGAGAGCGGAAGCCCCGTCCGCTTGTTTGTTGGAGTTAGGCTTGTTTTCTCCTTATCCCTTTCCTTTTTTTTTTTTCCTCCTCTACACATTCGCCTTGCTACCCCCTCCTTTTCAGAAACTCTTTTGTAGGCCAGTGATGCAGCCGGAGTGACGCAGCACTGGCGGCTTCCTCCACAAGCCAACGTTGCATGGCAGGAACAGGAAAATTTCTTGCCAGAAGCAAAGTCCACTCTCCAACAGCAGGGATGACTGAGGATGGGAAAGGCCTGACATAGGCAACAACGGAGGCCCTGGTAGTCGCTCTACCCTCCTGCGCCTAAACAAACAGCAGGGAGACCTTCACTGCACCAGAGAAGAGCCCAAAGCAAGTCCTTCTGCAGAGAAACATTTTCTAATAGCCAACTACAGGTATGGCTGCTTATTACAACAGCAGGGGAAAAAACCTCTTTGTTAACGGGGATTGCTTTATATAAGGCCTACACAGCCTTGTGTTTTCCTCCCAGCCGCTGAACGCTCCCACAGGCCACAGCTGAGATCGATGAGCCACAGAAGCAATCAGGCCTGTGAATTTCTTTAGTGGGTTGAACACTTCCTGGCTGTGATATTGGGCAAGCTACTTTTTTTATATAACACACAACATATATTACACTATCATAGAAAGGATATAAGCACTTTTTAACTATGGGTAGCCTTTTTTTTCTTCCAAATAGGCTGTTTCTTTTAGATATTAGATTTCTATATTGAATATAAACAGGATGGTAATTCCTAAAGTCAATAGCAGAATACAAAAAACATTTATGAAAAAATATAATGACATAGCAGTTCAAAAAGTCCACTATTTTGCTGTATGAATAATAATTAACTTGAACTAAAGCATGAAATACTGTTAGTAGACCAGCATACGTTAGAGAACATGTTATACTGTAGACCAAAATAATGTGGTACATAACTGAGAAGGTAGATTAAAACAATACATGCTCTTCAAAATATTCTAGAAAACACAAAACTGGGAAGTTTAGCTCTCTTTTGCATCCTACCCCCTTTGATACCCCCAAAATAAAATCCAGCTTAAGCAGTTGTCTACAAAATATATATATATATAAGTAGTAAATGAATTACAACAGAGTGGAGACATCTGATAAAAACATTCAGGAACAGAAAGCATGAAACTTTCATCTATTACACAAATCTGCCCTTTATAAAAAAAAATGCAAAAAAGAAGGTCATTAATGAGTCAGAGTAAAAGGAAGTACCACTGGCCTTTTGCCAATAGCCATGGGAACAGAGACCTAACTGATTGTGTTTGTCCTATATGAAAAAAACAAAAGGAAATGTGGAGAAAAGTATTTTTCTGTACATCATCCTTAAACACTTCCTCCCCATGGTGACACACGGTGGTGGAAGTACCATGCTGAGGGGATGCTTTTCTTCAGTAAGAAAGGGAAGCTGAGTGTGGCTAATGCTTGGGAATCCTGCATACGTTTTTGTAATCTACAACAGACTTGAGACTAAGATGAAGAATTTCCTTTATTGATTTCATTTTTGTTTGAGGGGGAGGGGGTGCATGCAACCACATTTTTTCATAATTTGAACCCCATACATTCTTGTTTCTTTAAGAGTTAGCTGCTGTATTTCTTTCTAACATACACTCATAGCAGAATATGCTGATGTCTGTGGATGTAATGTGACTTAATGCGTTTACAGGGTATATTTTTAGATTTTTACTGTCATGGATCCCTTCAAATCATAGTGGCTGGTAAAAGCAGACAGAATCATGACGTCAGAAAAAAAAAAAAAACATAATCTGTTAAGCTGTTGTATCAGAGCATTATTTGACTGATGTGTCGAGCAGCTTACGAAAGCTGAAAATCGAAGGCTCCAGACATGTGTTTGTATTTCATGAAAACAGACCTACCAGCCTGTTGAAAGGAAATGTTTTGTAAACACAGTCTTTTTTTTTTATAAAGATTTTCCTAGGTTATTTCAAATAAGAATGAGCACAGTTGCTGTGAATTACAGGTACATGGCTGAAATATCTTTTTATTTCAGAAAACACCTTTTTTTTTATCACACTGTGACTTTAAAAGAAAATCAGGGAGAATTACCTTAAATCTCTCATATTACTGACATGTCATGATTTTCCAAATAGTTTTCTTCCTGCTGGAAAAGTGAAATCCCATGTTAGAAATGTATCATATTTCCCTTAATTCCCACGTCTTTCCCAAACATGCTGTCCTTAGCAGTGTTTGCCTCCTGCCAGCCCCTAGTGGGCTAAGTGTGCAGGTTAGCTCGACCTGTACACAGTCATTTCATCCTGACCTTTGAGAAGCTCTTATCTGTTTGCTCTCCAAAAAGCAACTCTGGGGAAAATGACATTTGGCTTAACTGACAGACAAAGCAGAAAACAAAGTTCAAACAGCTTTTATTTTTTGTTGCTTCCAAATATAGAATCAATCATTTAGTTTTAAACTGATTTTTCCTGAAGACTTTCCCTGGAACTATTAAAACATTTTCTTCTTTCAACTAATTTATATCGATTGTGTTCAATTCTTTATTTTTTTTTTCTTCTAATCAAAAAATGAAAGCCTTTTTTTCTCCATTACATTCTTTGTTTTTTTTCCCTATTTTGTTCTCTTCTCCAGATTGATTTTTGCTTTAAAAACAATCAGCTTGGATTAGTTTTAAACTGATTCATCTAGTGTGAGAAACTATGATGGAGAGATTATAAGGCATAAAAGAAAACTAAGTAGTAGTGAGTGAAACATGGCAGCTGTTTAAAATCCTGACTATTTTGGTGACAGTAAAGATTTATGTTTTCATTAATATTTTTTTTTATTCAAATGTTGCTGAAAGACTGGTTCTTCAGGGCATCCAATGGGCCATAATAAGTATTCATACCCATTGCACCTTTAATACTACAACTAAAAACCTAAAGCATGTTTCTTTGGACTGTGTGTGAATGATCAACAGATAGTGGTAGATTATTGTGTAGAAAAATAACAGATGCTTTTTGTTTTTATATAAAAATCTGAAAATTGTGCTCTTCTTCTATATGTGTCCATTTAAATTCTATAACTCACCCAAATAAAATCTAGTACTGTTTTAGGAAGAAAAGTATTCCTATGCAATCCAGTTACGTATCCAGAATTTGTCCAGAATTTCCCCATTGTAGGACAATAAAGGGATTTTCCATTCTATGCTATTAAGTAAATGAGATCAATGCTAATCATTCAGTCTGCAGTTTATTTGTCTCTGCAAAGACCAGTCATATCGGCCCTCACAGCTCGATGTTGTGCTTTAGACAAGGTTTTTCTAACTACCTTAAAGTCTGCAAAAGCTGTGAAGGTCCCCACATACAGTTTAATCAAAACAAGTTACAAGCAGTTGAAGAAAACAGTCTAAAGGAGTCTGGCTTCTGTCCCAAACATTCTCTATTAGCACAAAACAACGTTTCTCACCCAAACACTGTGTAGCCTTGCAGATGTACGACCGCCTGAGTGAATACGATTCTATGGAAGCAGCAATCATAATAAATAAAAGAAGGGATGTAATAAGAAATTGATTTTTCAGACTACTATTATCAACTACTTCAGAGATCAGTTAACCTGTTCATAGAGTAGAGTTGATGGGAATATGGGTGGAGCAAAATGCATGACAATCCTGGAAGAAAAACATGATAGAAGCTGCAGGCGGTTTGCTTGATTTAAAATGCATTGAGTTTATAGTCATTGGCTGAAGTAAAAAGTTAATTAAATCGACTCATACCACCTCTTAACAAAGTTTCTTTACAAATCATTTGATAGGTTTCTATTCATAAAACAGGGTTACTATGATATAAATGAACCAAAAAGAAAGCATTAATCAGCAGCTATTATTTTCACAACCTGAAACATGTTTACTTTGCATGCAAGCAGCTGTGAAGCATTGCTTGCATGGTTAAATGTAGATGTTAGTCAGAGTGGGAGAACCTAAACAGTCACTTCTGTCTTTAGAGGCTAGCAAAGAGGCTACAGAGCTGTGCCGTGTGCTTAGATCTCCCCATCCCCAGAGTGCTGACGCATTTGCTGCTTTCGCATCAATCAGCAGCCTCTACATGGGTACACTCGCTGCAGAGAGCATGATTTGTTTTTTATCTCAGCCAGAAAAAAAACATCCCAGAACATCTGGATTGTGATTGCCGCCTTGCACAACAGGGTGACGGTCTGTAGCATCTACTCTTGTTTCAGCTTTGTCAAACCACAGCGACTGTGTAGGCATAGGTGAAAAGCTTTGGTGTAATGCGCTCCTGCACAGGCAGAGACTGTGTGCAGAATCAAATGGTGTGTTTTTATGCATTTAGGGTACATATTAGAGGGCTCCTGATGATGTATATTTCATGCAAGGCATTATCCTCTCAAAGCAAGCATCGGCATTCACTAGATCTAGTTTTGCAGTGCTTGGGAGATTTAATACCGCAGCCGTTATACAGCTCAGGACCCCTTGCTATGAGCACTCGCAGCAATGCAGCTGAGCGTGTTTTCTGGCTGTGGGATGAAGAAGAGAGCTGATGTGTGATGTTGAGCCCTGCATCTCTCCCCTCTCTCTACAGTCCTCTGCAATGCTTAATAAAAGTTGCCGTTTCCTGCTCAGTGGCTCCAGAACGAAAGCGTCTGTTGCCCAGCTAGTTAGTCCATGGGGCAGACCGATGCTCCAATTTAGCTACATCGTGCAAGAAAGCTGTGAGCTATTCCAGTCGCTGTTGTGCTGTAGGACAGAGTAGGGCATGGCAGCTGTAGCCCAGGACCCAGGCTGCATGGACAGAAGGATGCTGAAGCTGAAGTCATCTGCACACTGATGAGAGGGAGGGAGAGGAAGAAAGACGTCAGAAAAGGCTCGGATTCAGACATCACCACTGTTCAGCCACCATCATAGGGGGAAAAAGTACTTTCGCCTATCTATTACAAAACTGTTTTTCGTGTATCATTGTGTATGTGGCAGGCCGTAGTGAAAGGGATACCGAACTATATCGTTTCCTGTTCTTTGTGCATCATTTTCTCTGATTCACTAAGGTACGTTTTGCATGCTTACCCTCAAATTCTAACCTGTTATTTCTGTGTGTGCGGAAGTATGCCTTGCAGAGCTGCATAGAGGGGTTTTTGCTTTGACGGTTTGCTTCTGGTTTGACAGTACTTTCTGTATGCTGCTCTGTCATTTCTCAGTTTCTGGTTTGACCTGAGGGGATTTCTATTTTTTTTTAGAAAAGAAAAGAAAATAAGAAGTAAAAAAACAAATTGTGACTTTGTACGTAAACTAAATCAACGTATGGCAAATTCTAAAAGCAGTGATACCAAGTTGAGACTTTTCGCTCAGCATGTGGCAGCAACAAACCACAACAATCGATGCAAGCTGTAAAAAATGAATGTGGGGATTGAAACAGCTTCCTGGAGGGAGATGGTGATGCTGTTCCACAAACAGCACAAAAAGACTAACAAGTTCATATATCTGGAACATACTTTTAAAAAAGATGACGACAAAGTGTATCTGAAAGTCTGTTTCGTGCTGCAGAGACAAAGACTCTCTGACCATAGCATGCAAAAACACATATATATTATATATTCAGGTGGAGACAAAGGCTACATTGCTTTGTGCAATTCTGTTCTGCAGAGGTTTCCAAAGAGGGCACCGTATTATTTTTTTTTTTTGACGAGGTAAACTGAAACCTCAGACAGCGGATACAGTCGATTGCCGTCCAGCTGAATCCCAATAAGTGCTGCGCCATAGCATGTTGCCATGACAACAGAGGCCTGTCTGCAATTGAAAGCAGGAGGTTAGCTGTGTTTGCAGCCGTCTGAGAGGCTTTACAGAAAGCAGCGGCCATATTGTATCTGGTACACATCACAAAATTAGAATTTAAAAGACCTCTCTGATAAAAACCTATGTCCTGAGAGGCAACACTGTTCTGAATTTAAAAGCAACTTGTATTTCCAATAATATTTTGGAAATACAAGGATGGACGTTATGCTAATGTGACAAAACAAGAAATAACAAGAATAACTTTTGACAGAATCCAATGTCATAGATGTAATTTATGAGCGATATAATCTGGCATTTGAACAGTTTTGAGACAAATGTGCTGTTTTTGACACATTAGGCCTAAAATGTTCCCAGAGACATAGCACGTTATATAATAGAATTTGTAATTATATCATGATAAAAAAAAAGTTCAAAATGGCGGTTGGATTGGCAGCAATGGCGCTGATCGGTCAAATACGAGTGATGACACGTGTCTTAGCAGAGACACCTAGCATGATATGTTAAACAGAAATGACTCAGATTGCACTGAAAAAAAAACAAATTCTTATTCAAATAAGCTACCTGTAAGTCTGACTAAGCCACTAGTTGGAAGTTGTCATGAAATGTCATAAATATTTCAGTTTTAAATCTTTTTACAAGATCTAGCAACTAAACAATATCAAAGCACGCAAACAGGATATAACAGTTACCACAAGTCATAAGAGAATGTTCCCCACTCTTAGATGTGGAAGAATAGCTTCATTTTACCTTTTTTATAAATAATTTCCATAAATTAAATGCTAAATATTTACTTGACAGAGTGAAATGTTAGCTGCGAGTTTCTGTAAGGCATCTAAGAGGAAGTCTTTCACTGTAAGAATATGACTCATTTTCACACATACGTTATGTACTGGTCATTCTGATCAATGGAAAAAAAAAATACCCGACTGAAATACGGTTTTTACTGAGAATAGGAAAATCTAAAAAATATCAAACACCTTCAGTGGACAAGAATTCTTAAAATTGTAGTCAGCAAGCACGAAACCTGCATGAAAACACGATTTGTAATCATCAGTCAGTGTTTTACTCTCACTGGGGGACACTGAACAATGAAAGTCCATCCAGCTTGCCAAATATTCTATTGGCTTACAGAATGTGCATGCATTACACTTGCAATATAAAATGGGAGTATTGCAGCCACACTAATGGTAATGCAAATGAACATTTCACATCTCCGTTTCAATGTTTGTTACTACATTTACTTTAATATGCAATAACTGTTTTAGCAGACACACACACACATATATATATATATATATATATATATATATATAAATACTAGTGCTGTCAATCGATTAAATGTTTTTAATCGCGATTAATCGCATCAATGCCTGAGTTAACTCGCGATTAATCGCATTTTAATCGCAATTTTTTTTTCTGATTGAAAATCATTTAAATACTCTCGATGACATGCAAAAAATACATACAGGCTAGGTTTGTGCCAATGTTCTTTTTTTAAAATGAAGACAGGTCACAGATACTGATTTATGCCATAGAAACATATGGCAAGAAGATGGGGAGGCATGTAGCAAAAAATAACAAATATGTAGCCAAAAAAAAGGCCCTGAAAACAGGCTGATGTAAAAGACAGTCTTTACAGTTAATACAGTCTTTTGAACACAGACAAGCATTTTACCCTACTGCTATAAAATGTAGTACAGTTAACATTAGATGTTAATTAACCAAGATAATAATGAACAATTTTCAATCAATACATCAAAATCAATAGACCGACATCACTAGATGGAGGTAGTCTATGCTCTAGAAAGTTACTTTTCAGCCTCTTAACAAAAATGAGAACACACACACACCCACCCACCCACACACAGACACACCCACCCACACACACACACACACGATACCGACCTGTGGCAGCAAGTGCCGTAGCAGATTCCATTTCACCTCAGTAATCTGTTTTCTCAGCGTATTTCAGGTTGCTACTAGTTACCAGACACTCAACTTGTTTGTTGGTGGTGGGGCTTAAAGAAAAGGCACTAGCGCTACCCAGTGTATGAGCGTCTTTTTTCCTTGAGGAGCTCCGCTCTTGAAGCCAACGAGAAATGCATACACTGGGGGAAAATAGCCCCGCCAACTCGCAGGCTGCAGCGGGATGTGCTTGGAAAATTGTACCATAAAACCACATAGCGTTAATCTCACGTTAAAAAAATTATCGCCGTTAAAATGGCCTCGCTTTAACGCGATAATAACGCGATAATTTTGACAGCACCAATAAATACACTTCAAATGGTCTACTTACTGTAGATCTTTTATTTGATAATTATCATTCTTAGCCTATAAAAACATTTTTTCTTTAATATATATATTTAATATGTAATAACTGTTGTAGCACATATATATATATATATATATATATATATATATATATATATATATATATATATATATATATATATATATATATATATGTATGTGCTACAACAGTTATATATGATAATTATCACTCTTAGCGTATAAAAATATGCTTTCTTTAACATGGAAAATGCTGTATTTTACTCTATTTAAAGTGCATGTACTTCCCTTGTGATTACAGTGGCTTAGAGGTCATTAGGTTTAAATTCAGCAGCTTACAATGAAAACTGGCACACAATCTCAAAACGTTGCTGCCATCTAGTGTTAAAACAGAAGAGGTGCTGAAATGCTTTGAAACAGAAAATAATCACAGTTCTAGGCCTATTTAGACAGTCTCAGAGTTTTATAATGATCTAATTTTAAGTATAATGTGGTGGAATTTTCTCCTTGTTTTTTCCAGATGACTGTAGTGGACCTATCTATCCAAACCTGATGGACAGCACACACCCTTACACTGTGCTGAGCAAGCTCAATGAGCAGCGTTCACAAGGCCTCTTCTGTGATGTCACCATCGTGGTGGAGGATGTAAAGTTTCGGGCCCACAAAAACATCCTGGCTGCATGCAGTGGATACTTCAGAAGCATTCTGACAACCTCTGACACATGCAGCTCCAGCCAAGTCCTAGAGCTTATGGACCTAAAGTCTGAGGTGTTTGGCACTATCCTCAACTTCATATACTCCTCCAAGGTAACATTGCTTGCTACAGAGAACCGAGGGGGGCTTTTAGAAGCTGGAAGAAGACTTGGAATTCCTTTTTTAGAAAAGCTTCTGCAAGAACAGCAGCAAGATGAATGTGTTAAATCCAGAGACTCATGTGCAATCACAAATTCTTCAACAACAAAGAAGGAAGTTTCCAGGCCTGAGGAAACAGACAGAGCAAGAGGGCCTCGCATTACAAATGCCTTCTCTATCACTGAAATGTGTCCTGGGAACAATCCTTTCACTCCTCTTGTGCAGATAGACAAGGAGAGACAGTCGCCAGATGTGGGACAGCTACCCACAAGTTTCCCTACAATGTCATGCATCAATGGGAACAGTGAGACAACCCACACCCTCTCTGAACACTCATATGCAGTAAACAATTCCACTGAAGGCAAAGACACCAGTCAGTGGGACAACAGGAAAGTCTGTAAACCAGCAATATCCCACTCAAAGCAGTGGCTGTACAGGAACACGGGCCCGCTGAAAAAGCGCCACAGGCTGAGAGGCATATTAGGCAGAGGTACGCTTCCAGCACCAGCAGATCCAAAAACAGATAAAGCGAAAACAGCAAACCCGGCATTATCTGATGGTGATTCTGCTGCAGCTTCTGCCACTGTTATGACACCGCCTGCACTTTTCTCAGTAGCAGAGACAGAGAAGACAACAGACACAGAGCTCTCTGCAGCCACTGACTGTGTTAACATTGAGTTAGGTCCACCACCACTTTCACCTCATCCAGAAGACAGCATTTCAGTCTACAGCTGTGAGCATTGCCCAGAGATATTCCAAAATAAAGCTCTTCTCTTCATTCACTCTGAGGTACATAAAAAGCCTTTTGACTCTGATTTGTTTTGTAAATTTTGCCGAAGGAAATTTATACACCTTAAACGGCTACACAACCATGAAAAGCTATGTCCAAAGGCTGGAAGAGTCCCACATAAGCAAGGGGCCAGGGAAATAACAATGAAAGAGGTTGAGAACCACTCCAGTGACAACTCAAAAATGGAAAGCACTGCGGTGACACCTTCCTCTGCAGATCTCTCCATCCCAAACATGCCAGGGCTCACTGAAGTTAACCTAACACAGCAACTTCATGAGGAGAAGACAGTCAGGCAGAGGATATACAATTGCAGTGTGTGCAAACGAGTTTATGTCACCTTGTCCAGCCTGAGGCGTCATGAGAACGTGCACTCCTGGCAGATGGCCTATCCCTGTCATTATTGCAATAAAGTCTTTGCCTTGGCGGAGTATCGTACCAAGCATGAAATTTGGCATACAGGTGAACGCCGCTATCAATGTATTTTCTGCCTGGAGACATTTATGACTTATTATATCTTGAAGAACCATCAAAAGTCCTTCCATGGCATTGATCCTAGTCTAGCTGTTAAAAAAAAATCTGCCAATGGTGGGCTGAAAGCCAGCGTTTACCCAATCAAGCTCTACAGGCTTCTGCCCATGAAATTTAGAAAAAGGCAATACAAGACCTACAGCCAGACGTACTCTGAAAGTGTTGAGAAAGGGGACTCTTTAGACAGCAGTACTCTGATTCCTCCATTCGAAGAAAACAGCCTGATCAGCCCCAGCACAACGTCATTCCCACTTACTTTTATGGCCACAACAAAGATGGTCTCCCCTGTCAAGCCTCGCATCTGCTTTGACCAACCTTATGACCAAGTTCTTGATCAAAGTCTCAACTGTGAACAAGAGGAGCAAAGAAGTGCAGAGAAAGAAGCTGGAGGAAGGGATCCACCATTCAATAACTCTGATAGTATCTCAGAGCTGCCTAATTATGAACCTCCAACGATGATAATGAACTCGGAGCATATTACTCATAGTGTACCATTCATACACTCCTTGACTACTGTTAAAAAGTTAGGTGAGCTGTCAGCTTCGGCAAAAATGGTTGAAGAGATGACCAAAGAGATACTCCAATCTAGCACAGAGGATCTGATGCGGGACAGAAGAGTAGGGACAAAAACAGAGACTTACATTGCCAAACCTGCTTGCCAGGGTCCATCTTTGGACAGTGAAGCAAAGCCGCTATGCCAGATAACAGTTAAAATAGGCAACGAAGCCATTATCCGCCGCAAAATTAAGGGATCTAAGCTCTTCCCGAAGAAGAAAAGAAAATCCAGAGAACGAAATGAGGAACAGGCCAGGAATCAGTGCACTCCGCCGAGGGAAAACCCAGAGAGTGCAAGGCTTCGTCTCAGACCAGAAGCCATCAGTTCCACTGAGACATATGATGAAACCAATGATTGTGACAACGCTGATCAGCTTTGGCGTCCCTACTATTCTTACAAGGCTAAAAAGAAAACAAAGAAGTTCGGATACAAATACAGAAATGCTTTGTTGCAGCCCTGTCCTGACCTTTCTGTAGACAGAGCCGGTTTTACTGAACCCCACTCTGACAGATTGCATTATCCAACAGAGGAGAGCAGCTTGGGAGGTAGCGTAGGGCCGAAACATAGTCTTAGCAGAAACTATAGCCCCAAGCCTACCTACAACTGTGATATCTGTGACAGCTCTTTTATTACAGAGACTGGACTGAAAGCTCATGTGATCGGTTCCCATCCATATTTCTGCCGGACCTGCGGTAAACAAGGTCCTCCCGGTGAGGCGCCCTCTGGTGGAGATTACATCTGCAAAAGTTGCATGGAAAATGGCTCTTGCTTTGACAACACTCCCCAAAGCCCAAACCGAGAGAAGAAATATCGCTGCTCATTCTGTCCCCAACGGTTTTTGTACCTTGCCACCAAGAGAAGTCATGAGAAAAAACACCAGGATTCAATCGATGACAGTCACAGCTATGACACCGTCACATCATGTTCTACGTACTCAGACCACTCAAGGGAAGGAAGCAAACAAGACACCACCAAAAGAGAAAACAGTAGAGATCAAGGGGACATTGACATAAAATGTGAAAGCATAAAAGAAGAACATTTTACAACTAATGAAAGCAAGCCAAAAATGAAGGATGGATCTGACTTAATGACTCCCTATCATGTGTCATGTTCAGCTGTTAAAACTCCACCACCATCACCGTATGTGGATTCACTGCCTACGCTGACATCCTCAAAGATGAAACACAAAGCTCAGAACAAGAGGATCAATGCGTATCATTCTACGCATCACATTCCAAAGAAGCAAACTTATGACAAAGAAGGTGATCCCAACAAGAACATATTGACAGGACCAAGAAAGAATAATCTCATCAATCATGACAAATCCAGCATACTGTTAAGGAAGACAGACACTGAATCTAAAGTTGCACACATTTCGTTACACAGGCCGGAAAAATGGGTCTGCAAAGAGGAACCCTTCTTTTAAAGACGTTTAAAGACTGCAACTAACTCTGCAAATGGCATTTAAGGACAAACTTTTTCGTTGATGATAAATAAAATATACAATGTTTTGCATTGCAATTTTTTTTGGACATAACAAATCCAACTATTATAATCTAACATCAGCAGACTGAAATTTCATCTACCCATAATCCAATAATGCAGTTTTTATTTTTCACAGTTTTCCACCTATATGAAGGATATTTTTAAAGTATTGTACAGACTTCTGACACAAACTGTACTTTGTCTTGTGTCTATGCATGTAAATTAAAGTTAGTAACTCATTGTAATCTTTCGTTACACGCAGTGCAATAACAGATCAGCTTCTGCAATTTGCGGGGGGGCAGAAAAATAACCAGTGGTGGTTCTAGCTTTACCTTTTTAAAAGCATGTCGGAGCAAACAAAGGGATTTTCTGTTGTCATTTTTCTGTACCTCTAGTTTAAATAACATAGATTTGTGAGTTGCACTTTATGGGTAGACTATGCTGACCTAAAGTTTAATACTTGAAATTTTTATTCCAAGCTCTGCTGGTGTAAATAGAATTTCTACTAAATACACATGACCACTGAAATTACATTTTCTCCTTTTTTGTGTGTTTAGTATGTATAAAATACTTCACATAAATATTATTACTGAACTGTTTGGTTCTGTCCTTTTCTTTGAGAACATGTAAAAAAACAACAACAAAAAAAAACGATACAACCTGCATGTTAAATTCTGTCTCATACACACTTTTCTAAATTAGACTTTAACTCACATTAACTACATTTATTTGGCAATTTTACAAACTGTGTTTTTAACAATTCACATATTTTGAAAGAATATAAAGCCACACATGATTGTCTGCTCCCCCTACTCCTTTAGGGACCTGCAGCCCATCTGAAAAATTCATTCTTTTTTTCCCACTCAAACTGTATCTGTTTTGGGCCTCCAAACACAATTTCCAGATGTTTCTCAGTTTCTTGCTTTCTGACACTTATTTTGTGCTGCATTAAGCAGATCATATGCTATAAGAAATTGTGTCCTTTGTTAAACCATTTGTTTCAAGTCTTAATGTCGATCCTTTTTTATTCAATATGGGCAAAATCCTTTTTTTTTATACAATCACAGTACAAATCGATGTTGCACTTCACGATGAGTAAAACATCTTACTGGGAAGTGAGTCAAACAGGTAACTCAACTCGCAAGAGTTCAACTGAAGGGGTTATACTTAGTTCAGCAGCACAATCAGTTTACAGTCAGTTTGATACTTGTGCTTTGATCATTGTGAGTCACATTTTTATATTTCACATTCCACTTGGATGTGATGATAAGTTGCACTCAAAGACATTAATCTCCACTAGCAGGAGCTAAATATTAGTCACTGAACAATTGGATTTAATCTGAATACATACACCATTTTTTTAGCACATTTTATAATTCCTTTAAAAAAAGAAAAGAAATAAAATTAAGTGGCATCCCATTCCTAATCCATAGTTGTTCAATATGATGTAGGTCCACCCTTTGCAGATAGAACAGCTTCAACTCTTCTAGGAAAGCTGTCCACAAGGTTTTGCAGTCTTTTTAATGGGACGCTTTGACCATTCCTCCAGAAGTGCACTGGTGAGGTCCCACACTGATATTGGAAGAGAGGGCCTGGCTCTCGATCTCCACTCTAATTAATCCCAAACTGTTCTGTCGGGATAATGACAGGACACTGCAAAGGCCATTCAAGTTCATAAACATCAGACTGTCATCCATGTTGTTACAAGCCTTACTATGTGCACTGGTGCACAGTCGTGTTAGAAGAGGAAGGGGCCAGCTCCAAGCTGTTCACACTAAGTTGGAAGAATTGAAAAAAGAAAGGAAAAAGTAGATGATCTGATGGATTGTGCTCAATGGACTTGAATTAATATTAGTGTCAGTATTCAAATTTCCAAATGGAGAGTTCTTTTATTTCATATGAATACATTATTTATTCAGTCGAATTAAAAGTTTCCTACTAATGTACCAACTTAGCAAACAACTAAAATAACAGGAGAGAAAACAAATTGAAAAAGAATCTCAGATCAACACAAAAGAATTGGATATTCATATTTCAAATGTAAGCACTGTCTAATGAACCCCCCTCTCAAAGTTGATTGGATAAGTGAAAGTGAAAGCCCTTTGGGAAACTCCTCCAACTCCCATTGTCATTGTGACACAGCACACACAAGTGAACACTGCACACCATGAAATTGCATTTATGCCTCACCCATGCAAGGGGGCAGCCCTCAATGGCGCCCCAAGGGAGCAGTGTGGCGGGACGGTACCATGCTCAGGGTAGTCAGTCATGGAGGAGGATGGGGGAGAGCGCTGGTTAATTACTCCCCCCACCAACCTGGCGGGTCAGGAGTCGAACCGGTAACCTTTGGGATCCAAGTCTGACACCCTAACCGCTCACCCACGACTGGATAATCACCAGACGCTTCATTAGGTACATCATTAGTGCCCTGTATGTCCTTTCCCCTGCAAACTGCAGCAAGTCTCAAAGTCATAAATCCAGAGAGCAGTCAGAAACATGTCTTAGATATTTTGGTCCACTACCATACATAAATTTAATATAATTATATTCAATTTATTTATATAGCTCCAATTCACAACACGTCATCTCAGGGCACTTTACAGAGACATTTCAACCAGATCATACAGTGTGATTCGTTCAAAGTTTTCTATCTAAGAAAACCAACTGATTGCATCGACTCATTGACTTGAAAGCAATCCCTCACACCAAGCATGCTTGTAGTGACAGTGGAGAGCAAAACTCCCTTTTAACAGGAAGAAACCTCAAGCAAAATAACAATGTATTTTTCTCCAGTTTAGACTTTCAAACACTATAGTAACGTGCTAACTCAATAAAAGGTTCAAATAAATGTATCATTTCATGATGCTATTTTGTTGCATATGGTATTCCTGTGCAGCTCTAAACAATTAAAATTATGTGTCCAGAGATGGTATTCTCCATAGTTACTGTACATTGAATATACTCTTTCCTTTCTGTCTTTTTACATGAAAAGGCATTTCCGTTCACACAACTAGAGGGCACTACGATCTTTTCTTTAGACCAGGGGTCTTCCGCATTTTCTAGGCCAAATAAACCCCCAAACTGATGGCGAGATGGAGCGGGGACCCCCTAATTATATACGTATATTGGATGAAATTGTGTTATATCAAACTGGTCCTATAGTCACTCTATTACATATAAAGTAATGTAATGAAAGTAATTTCTCCCTGGGATTATTAAAGTATTTCTGATTCTGATTCCTGGTTGATGGGACAGGTGTTGTGAATGAAACAGTGCCCAGCATGAAAGAGCTTCTGTGTGTTGCTGAATGTGTGCATTGATGACTGAAAGACATCTTCTGCCTCCATTTATCTGTTTACTACAGTGTGTTGAATTCATGTTAATGTGTATTTAAAGACATTTTAATTATTGGAAAAAATGCAGGAGGGTGTATATAAAAAAAGTCTAATCAACCCAAACGTTTGTGACCCCCATGCAGTACCTCCGTGGACCCCCTAGGGGTCGTGGACCCCCTGTTGAAGACCTCCGCTTTAGACTATTGCATGTAAAGCTAGCTGATCTTTGGCTGAAAATTGCAGTAGGCCTATATCAACAGTATTTTCATACATGCCCCCTGACCAACCCTAGGACACCCGCAAGCTCTTAAAATAAAAACCTAAATGCATTGATTTGATATCCTGTTTGTTTGGCAATTAAACGGGTGCAGCCAACAAGGTTGCTTGGAAGTAGCTAATATTTATCCATGCAAATGAAAGCAGATAGGAAAAATTTACTGTGGTTATATACTAAACTGGTCCAATACAGATAACAAAAATATTCTCTGTCCCAATTTTAATAGAAAACGAATAGTAAAAAAGCTTTATGCTGCTGTATTTTTTACATAAAAGTCACATTACAGTTACCACAGAGGGTACCAGTTGTGTTGCAATTGTATGTCACCAGTTGTGTTGCAATTATATTTTTTTTGTTAAAAACGTCACTTCTGTTTGTTTTTTTCAACACTAAAAAATGAAGATAAAAGACATTTTACATATGCCTAAGGAACTAGTTTCAGATACACAGAAAAAATGTAAAGCAATTTATGTTATACTCTCTAAGTTACCAGGTTAGTTTTAACATAGGTGTCATGTCAAGTATCCAAGTACAAATACTTTGTTACTCTACTTAAATAAAATTTTTAGGTATCTATACTTTACTCCATTGATTATTTTTCTTCCTACCTCTGACTTCTACTCATTTCATTTGCACAAAAGTATCTGTACTTTCTATTCCTTACATTTTTAAAACAAACTTTACTCGTTACTCTTGGCTTAGATTTAATGTTTATAAATGTTTGCTTCACATCATGTGTGTGATCCAATACAGATTACTGGCACCATCCACATCTAGCGAAAACTAGTGTAATTGGATGAGTCATATAACGCAAACACTCATTGGTTTGATAAAGGAAATCATCAGAAGCAAGCAGGTGTTCTTCAAGCTGCAATCGTGAATTGTCTATGCCATGCTACAATGTTAGATTCAGGAAAAGATGTTGAAATGTCTTAAAGGTCAGACACAGACGAGAGCGTATCGGGAAATGGAGACCTACAAGAACACCCTCATCCTTGGTCCTATCCCAAAGAAATTTTCTAAATATATGAAAAATTGAGAATTCAATTCATATAGTGGCATCTGGCTTTTTTTTTTAAGGTTACTTATCCTTAAAGTAGTTTTTGGAGCACATACTTTTTCACTTTTACTTGAGTAAAGAGGTCAACTTTTGCTTCAACTTTTGCCAGAGTGTTTTTAAACTGCAGTATCTATTGAGCATTTTTCCTTTGGAAACTTTACATGCACAAGTGCACTCTCACAAACAACTACAGGTGCTTGGCTCCAGGTACTTAAGATATTCACTTTCATACAGAAAGCCCATATTCTTATCTTCTGCTACCACATTATACATGTCATATTAAATAATACTACATATACTTAAGTGATAGTATCAAGGTGTTACTTTATTGTATCTCGTACCATGTCCGTTGCTTGTGCTGTTCTTTTTACATCTCTTTGCAGGTGATGAAGCAGACTGAAGATGTTTTATCGTTATCTCCCTTTTATCTCCTCTTTTTTTAATTTTTCCTCCTTTTTATCTGTTTTTCCTTACCTGTTCTACTTACATTGCAGTGTCCATATAATCTTTAAAACTCCTTGCATAATTATAATAAAGCTATTTATATGCATACATCAAGCGGAACACTATGGC